AACTGGCCCCAAGCCAGGTGATGGTGCATGCCTATCATCCCAGCAACTTGGAGGCTGAGGCAAGATCTCAAGTTCAAGGCCAATGTGGGCAAATGAGCAAGACCCTGTATCAAAATGAAAAGTAAAAGGGCCGGGGATGTAGCTCAGTGGTAGAGCATTCTGGGCTCAATCCCTAGTACTGAAAGAAAAGAAAAAAGAAAACTGGCCCCAGGGGCTGGGGTTTAACTCAGGACCTAGGAAAAAAAAAAAAAAAAGGAAATCTGGCTCAGCTGCTGCCAATCAGCTGGACTAGGGCTTGGAAAAATGAAACCAGATGGGGTGAGCTGGGCAGGTATTGGGTCCAGTAGACAGCAGAAGGGACAAGGGGCCCAGGAAGGAGGAATCACAGCTCTGGACAATCCAGAGCTGGAGGAAGAAGACAAAGCCTGTTGTTGCCACACACTTCAGAGTTGGAAAGCCAGTAAGTCCCACGCCACGAGTATTCTCCAAAGGCCTGACCCCACATCAGGACAGAGATGCAGTAGAAGCCCACACAGGGCGAAGGTGGCCAGGGACAAGTCCAGCTCTGTTCTAAATGGCAGCAGGACTTGGGTGAGGGGACATTTCCTCTGAGCCACAACACACTTGTAATCATAGCTACTCGGGAGGCCGAGTCTGGAGGATTGCCCAGCTTGTGAGCTTGAGGCCAGCCTGGGCAACTTAGCAAGACCCTGTCTCAAAAAATATAGAAAGGGCAGTGGATATAGCTCAGTGGTGAAATATCCAGATTCAATCCCCAGTAGAGTTAAAAATTCAGTCAATAAAAGAACCCTGGCTGCCTGCAAGGCTGGGCTTCTGAGCTTCTCCCTAAGTGAGGATTCCCTATCGAGCACCTGGAGAGGGGTATATTACCATCCCCATCTTACAGACGAAGAAACTGGGCCTTGTGTAATGACATGTTACCCAGGCCATGCAGCCTGCAGAGCCTGGGTAACCACCTCAGCTCTCAGTGACCATGTAGGCTGCTGCTGAGCATTGGCTCTTGGGATCTCACTCCCTTGGGTCTCTTTCAAGCGAGGGCTGCTGTGCTGGGAGATCATCTTCAAGGCCTCATCCACCTTTGAGAACTATGGATATATTAAAAAGGGAGGCAGCAGCATGGGGCCAAGCCTGGCCTCACCCCGACTCCTGAGCCTGGCTCCCTTCAGTGGGCTTCTCCCTCCCACCCTGAGCTCTGTGACCTTGGGCAGGTGGGCCTCCCTGAGCCTCAGCTTCCTCTTCTGTAGAATGAGGACAATAGTTTCTGCTCCCAGGGCTGCTCAAGGCTCTGAGAAAGTGCATGGTTGGTGGTGGCTGCTGTTGTCACGACACCTCCTACTCACTCTTGGGCTCTAGGCTCGGGCTGCACTCACCACCCACCTCCTCTGAGAAGCCTGGCCAGGGGCCTTTCCCATCATGGGTGAGTTCCTGGAGCACCTGGCCCACTCCTTCGGCCCTGGTCACAGTCTCTTGTCATTTTATATGTGCTTGTTTGCCTTTTGACCACACTGGCTGAACCTTCATCACAGGCTGGGGTGCTGAGCCCTGGCTGGCCCAAGGAGGTGCTCCAGAAGCATTTGCTGACCTGTCCATCGTCCTCAGATCTCCGACACCCTCCGTGCCCTGTCCCTACCTCCCCATGCCCTCTTGCAACAGGAAATGGAGCCATCATTACCACCTATCTGTAAGTCAGGCCCACTCTGGGGACTTACACACATTTGCTCTGCTCCTCGGAGGAGCCAGGGCAGACAGAAGAGGCTCTGAGCCCGGTCGCTGCCGTAACACCAAGCCAGCCCATGACCAAGCCAGCCTGTGACCTTGGGCCTGTGGGATTCCACTTATCTCTCTCTGTCTCTGCCCACTGAACATAGTGACACCCAGTCCCCACCTCATCCTGTGGATTGTCCCAACATGCTCTGATGGTCCAGGCTCAGACACAGTGGCCACCACAGCCTAGCTCCTGCAGGTGAAGGTGCCCGGACCTATATGCCAAGCACCATGCTGAGTGCTCTGGGGCATGACAACAGCTAAGCCACACAGGCTGCTGGTCATGGCCCCCCACCAGAAGCACCCCATGCACTCACTCAGTGCTTTCAGCAGCCCTCGGAGCCCCTCAGTGCTACTTATCCCCCTCTTTCTGAGAAGAGGGAATGGTCTCAGAGACCAGCAGTCACCCGGCTCAGCAACCCCACCCAGCCCCAGCCTAAGCCTGGAAGCCATTCGTGCCATTGCAGACCCCATCCCCCGGGGCTGCCCAGCTGTAGCCCGGCCCAGCCATCAGCACAGACTCACTGGCGATCAGATTGGAGCTGAGCTTGAGGGGATGGAAGAGAAGAAGGCAAGACACCTCTGGGGGTGAAGAGTGCCAGCCAGGCCTGGAGGTGGCAGTGGGCCTGCCGCTGCCTAGGCCAGGGCAGGGGGAGGGCACAAAGGGTGGCCAGGACAAGTCACGCTGGCCACTACCCATGGAGTGAGTGTGGCTTCCTGAGCTGGGAGTTGGATAGAAGCACCGGCACAGGCTCAGGGTCTTGGGGCTTGGGAGGAAGGCTGGAGGAGGTGGGGGCTGGCACAGGAGGCGGGAGAAACGGAGGAGGGGCAGGAGCCCGGAGAGGAGCCCAGGGACAAAAGGGGGATGTCATATCCAGCTCACAGCTGACTAGAGCCCTCAGCCCTGAGGCCCACACCTGGCCCGTGATGATTGACCAGAGCAGGACTGTCCCTTTCATGTCTTCACATGCCCCAGAGCACCTGGCACTGTAGCCTGATTCTCACATCCTGGTGAGAGGGTGTGGAGGGATAAAGGCTCCAACCTGAGGTCCATCCCTGGCCAGGCTTTGCCCCTGCTGAGCCCCACTTCATGGGCATGACTGACTCTCCTTCCTAAGGCAAGAGTTCCAGGCCCTACAACATTCTAATTATCCCCCACTGGCCTAATACAGATGGTCTGATTCACCAGTCCATTGGCCTCTGCCCCAAAGCCCATGGGGAGAGGTGTCCAACAGAAGGGGAGCCAGGAAGTCAGAGCCAAAGTGACATCCTAAGTCAGTCCTGTACTGTGGGGTTAAGCATCATGCCAGTATGTTGGGAATTTAAAAAGTAGGACAGGGCTACACAGTTGAGATGATACACCAGGAGGTGGGAGGACAAGAAGTCAGAGCTGCCCTCAAAGACGGTATGGTCAGTGGAGAGCCAGGAAGCCAGGGCTAAGAAAAACAAGGTCTTTAAGATTAAACCCACAGCACACCTATAATCCCAGCAAATTAGGAATCTGCAACAGAAGGATCACAAGTTCGAGGCCAGCTTTAGCAATTAACAAGAACCTCAGCAACTTACCAAGACCCTGTATCAAAATAAAAAATAAACCAGGCATGGTGGCTCACACCTGTAATCCCAGCAGCTCAGGAAGCTGAGACAGGAGGTTGGAGGCCAGCCTCAGCAACTTAGTTAGGTCCTATGAAACTCAGTGAGCCCCTGTCTCTAAAAAAAAAAAAAGAAAAAGAAAAAAACATTTAAAAGATCTGGGGAGGTGACTCAGGGTCAAGTACCCCTGGGTTCAATCCTTGGTACCAAAATAAACAAATAGATAAAATAAAAGTAAAAAGGGCTGGAAATGTAGCTCAGTGTTAAAGCATCCCTGAGTTCAATCCCTGATACCAAAACACAGCATCTGCAGACAAGGGTCTGCCCTACTCCAAAACCAAATCAGGAACTTTCCCAGGTGATGAGGAGCGATTCCAGGTGTTAGGGGCAAGCACGTGTGTAGAATGGCCACTAGAACACCCTACGGTGTTGCCCTATCCACATGGTGATCACCAGGGGTGGAGACCTAGCAGGATAACGAGACGTGTGTCACAGGAAGAACAGTGAGGAGGGAGAGCGCAGGCACCACTGAAATGCCACCTCTACACGGGATGACATCAGGCAGTCGGGTCCCAGCCTACCCCACAGATGCCATAAATGCATCCCTTGTTTGAGTCAGTCTGGGGTTTCTGCTTCCCACACGCGCCTCCCTTGTGCTCGAGCATAAGAATAAAGACCTTGTTCCTGAGAGTCGCACAGAGCCTCTGTCTCATTCTTCTGACAGACAGCTTAAGAACCCCGAGGGTAGGGTCCTTAACAAGAGCAGCAGGCCAGCTAGAGGCCAGGGGTGGGAACATGGGGTCCCTGAGGGAGGAACCGGCTGGCTCCTGGGGTGAGAAAAGAGAGGTCCCAGGAGGCAAAGCTGCTGGAAATGGAAAACTTCTTCATCTGGAGGAGATCAGGCAAGGCCCCTCCCACACTGAAAATTAAAAGGCAAAAGAAGGGCGGCAGGGGCTTGGCCCAGTGCTACTGCATTTACGGAGGCCCTGGGTCGGATCTCCAGCCTGCAAAACAAACAAACAAAAAAGGCTGAAGGAGGGCAAAGATGCACAGAGGACCAGAGGGCTGTGCGGCAGGGAGGTCCCAGATGAGTGTGGGCGCTCCCAGCTTTAGCTGGGAAACACCTGGCTCCACAGTCGGCCTCCCTCAGAGCACACCCACAAAGCAGAGCAGGGGGAGGCTGCTCCTTTTTGGGTGGGGGAAGAGTAGGAATCCACAACGAATATCCAAGAAATCAGCTGTCTGGTCCAACCCCTTCCTAAAAGGAGCAGGGAGGTCCCCACTGGCCAGAAGGAAGGCTGCTCTCCAGGAAGATGGGAGGACCCTGTGAAGCCAGAGCCCATCCTGCGTGGAGGGGGCTTGGGGGCAGCACTGCAAGCACCAGCCCCAGACCCCAGGATAGATATTCTTATAGCATCTGCAGCCACCTGTTAAGGCCTTGCCTCTCAGCCCGGTCCTGGGTCCCTGGAGAGCCCCACCACGGAACCTACACTGAGTCAGGCTGCTGCACGCCAGACCCACAACATCCTGGGCGGCAGGGCTCGCCCCACCGCCCGGGACTGCCCCAATCACCAAGGCTGTGGGTCCTACCTCCCAAGTCTCTCTCTGTGGCTCTCACCCTCACCACCCTCACACTGGGCATCCCTTATCCTCTGATTGGGGCTGCCTTCCCAGCGGGCTCTCAGCCCTAAGCCGTGCCCCCTCCGCTCAACAGTCTTCAGACTCCATAAGTGCCTCCGTTTGCCTCTCTGTAAAATGGAATAACCTCTGTGCCATGCCAAGGCAGCTTGCAAAAATGCTCTGAAAGCTGCAAAGGTTGCACAAACGGGAAGTCATTTAGAACAAGCAATGTATGTGTGTGGTGGGGGGTTGTCCTGAGACTTAGTGGATCTGGCCAAAGCCCAGGACTAACTAGGAAGTAGGGCTCCTATGAGGAATCTGGGCTTTTACCCAGCAGGAAACTTCAAGAATCAAGAGAGTGTTGTCATCTTCCCCAGTTCCTCCTTCAAGAGCAGCACTCTTGTTCCAGAAAGCTCCGCTGCCTTCACAAAGACCTTGGAGGACAGGAGCTCCTACTTGTTAGGCCCATGACACACGAGGCCAGGGCGAGGTGTTCTGCGTTTAGCTCACCGACTCCAGTGTAACCCCATTTTGTGGATGGAGAACTTGAGGCTCAGAGAAGGGAAGTCACTTGCCCAAACCACACTTGTAGTAGGTGGTGGGTTAAGATGAGGATCTGATTTGACTCTGAAGCCTGGGGAACTATCTATGGCCAGTTTCAGAATCAGCCAGTGCTACGGACCCAAATCTAGGGAAGGAAGGGCGGGAGGCACCCCTCTGGATATCAGCCATTGCGTGAGACATGAGAAGAGCTGGGGTCCCGGGGAAGCAGGTGACCTCATTGGTCTGGCTCATAGATGATCCTGCAAAGGGATCCACGAGGGGATCAGCCTTGGAATTGAGGAGGGGCTTCCAGAACAGAGGGGCTGCTCTTTTAAGGCAGGTGCTTTAGTCTTGCTGTGTCCTGTAACTCTGGGTCCCTGGAGCCTTTGACAGATAAGCACGCAGACTAAGATGACATTAGGGAAGATACAGGGGGGCAGGCCAGCGGTCAGTGACTGAGGTCATGGCCCTCCCTTCCCTGGGTCAGAGCAAGGGGTGGGCTCCCTTGGAGGCCCATTATGTTGGGTGGCCAGGCACAAATGAGGGGATCTGGAGAGCTGGGGGCCAACAGGAATCCACTGGAGAGATCCCTCGAAAGGAGCGGGGCAGGCCCTCTCTGTACCTGGCTTCCAGAACTTCTTGGCGGTCATCCAGTCCCTCTCTTCCTCCTCTGAGACCGTCTTGTCCTCCGAATCCTCCTGGTCCATAGGCTCCCCCACCCACTGCAGGCCGTAGTCGTTGAGGAACCGCTGTGGGGTGAAGGGGAGACACGGGGCAGCCAGCTCAGCCTCCTGCACGGAAAGGCAGCACTGGCCTATGCCCCAGCCTCAGTCCTGGGCCCCAGAGCTGCCTGGACAAAGGGAATGGGCAGAGGACCCTGCTGCTGGACTGGGTATTGAATGGAAGAAAGGTGGCTCAGGTGATAGGGTCACTCGGTGAGAAGTCACTAAGACAGGGATGGCTCAGCCCTAGTTCCTGGGTGATTGCTGTCCCGTGGAGTTCACAGCTCCACAGGGGAAGAGAGATGAGGGGCTAAGGAAGCAGAGGATAGGACCTGCTTTGATCAGAGGCCAGGAGATCCAGCGGGCCAGAGGCTGGGAGGGCAGCCAGAGGAGACAGATGAGGACGAGGAAGCTCCCCAGAATAAATAAGAAAACACTTGGGCAGAGGGAAAGGCATGGGCAAACGTCCTGGGGTAGGAAAGAGCTTGATGTAGTAAAGAACTGGAGGAAGGGCCCCAGAGTTGAAGGAGAGCGTGGTTCAAGGTGAGACCGAAGAGGTGGACAAGGGTTAGCATGCAGAAAAGACTTTGGAATTGAACCCCATGAGAAGCCATGAGGTCTATCAGGCAGGAGAGGGGCATGTTAGGAGTTTCATTCAGCCCAGGAGGAAGGACATACCCTGGCTCTGGACACCTCCCTGGCTCCTTAAACTCTGGGTCAGTCCTGGGCAGGGAGAGGTTTAGGGCAAGGGCCCTGGTTGGGATGCTTGGTGAGGAAGGGCCCAGGGAGGGAGGTTCTGGCCGGGGTGCAGCGGGCTGGCTGCCCCTCCCCCAGCCCTGCCTCTCACCTCCATCTCCCTGACCTGCCGCTGCAGCTGCGTGCACATGGTCTGTAGCTCCTCCTGCCGCTGCCCACTTACCTCACCTTCAGAGGAAACCAGGGTGAGGCTCAGCTGCCCAACCTGGAGGCTTCCAGGTGTGCTGGCCAAAGGGTCATCTGGGGATCCCCAAGAACTGCCTCTGGGCCCATCCCTTTGGTGTCTCCCTAACCCTGTGGGGCACCCTGGCTGACTCTCAAGGGGCCACCAGTCCCCTGGAGCATGTCTCTTCCATGCTCTGGATGGCACGCCTCAGGGGACTCAGGGCCATGGAGCCAGGTACTGGGTGAGTCCAGCACTGCCCCGGAGCCGGAGGTATCGTTGCCCTCCCTGGGCCCAGCTGTCCAAACCCCACCAAGGAGTCCACTTGATGGTCTTGGAACCCCGATGAAGTCACTGCCCACGCTCCCAGGAGTCGTGGTCAGCCTCCACAAGGGCCTCTCACCCTGGTTCTGCTGCAGGCGCTGCACCAGGTCCTCCAGGGCCAGGATCTTCTGATCCTGCGGAAGCAAGACACGGCGTGAGGCCAGGCCCAGAGGGTCCCAGAGCCAAATAGGAAGAATGAGAATTTCTTGAGGCACAGGGAAGCACAAAGACCATGCCCCTGACAACTTTGGCACCGCCACTGTTCCTGGGCCTCCTGTAACCACCCTTGTGGTCCCTCGGAGGTGAGGAAGGATGCAGCCAGCGCTGCCCAGGGCCAGTGTCCCACTGCCCCACCCAGCTCAAGGTCTACCAGGCCCTGCTCGGCTGTGGAGGAGACCCCAGCCTCTCTGCTAAGGTCCCAGGGGCCCAGATCGGTTCCAGGCCACACCTGGCCATCAAACCAGGACACTCAGTGGGGAAGTTGGTCCCAGGGCCCACCCAGCCTGGCCCCTCTCCCGGAGGCCTACCTTGGACACCATCTCATCACTCTGGGCTTTCACCTGCTGCTCCAGTTCTTGCATCTTCCTCGCCATATCCGAGTCGTGGTATGGGGGACCTGCCAAGCAGACAAAACCCCTAGAGCCCAGGCCTGGAGGGGACACTGAGGCAGGGAAGTCCAGGGAAAGGGTCCAGAGCAGAAATAAAGACACTAACAGCAGCTATCACATGATAGGGACTGCTGGAAACGCTACGCACATCAGCTTCTGTAACTCTGGCAATGTGCCCGTGAGGTAGATGAGCCGTCTCAGGACACTGAGGTGCATTAACTTGCCCAAAGCGTGTTAAGTATGTGGTGGAGCGCATGAGCCGCACCACCTTGAAGTCTTGCCAGGCCTCGTGGCGAACATCTACAATCCCAGTAGTTCAAGAGGCTGGGACAGGAGGATGGCAAGTTCAAGGCCAGCCTCAGCAACTTAGTGAGGCCTCACTAAGCAACTTAAAATATAAATAAATAAATAAAACCCTCTCACAAACAAACAAACAAAAAGAGCAAGGGAGATAGCTCAGTAGTAAAGCGCCTCTGGGTTAAATCTTCAGAATCCACCCAAACCCCCCCCAAAAGGGTCGTCCTCCAACTAATGAAGCCTCAAATTCGAACCTCCAGTTTGCAGGCAATGCAGAGAATAAAAGAGGAGGCCAACGTCACCCAGGTGCATAGCCAAACAAATCCAGAATTGGGGTATTCTGAAAGGCACGTGTCTGGAACTCCTCAAAAAGTCCATGTCATTGTTTTAAAAGGCAGGGAGACTGTTGTAGAGAAGAATAACAATTAGGTGTGGTGCAGGACTCTGGGATCAATCCTGGATCGGGGGAAAATCACTCAGAGAGATTGTGGAACCCTGAGGAGGTTTGACTGTAGAAGGGATAGATGGTAGATGTTACTAAATAACCCATGTGCTGGGGTGGGATGGTCGGATTGTGAGCATGCATTTCCTTATTGAAGTGTTAGGGATGAAATGACATCTCTGCAATTCATTTCCAAATTGTGCATCTTAAAAATACATCTGTCAGGCTGTGGCTGGGGCTCAGCCGTAGAGCACACGCCTAGCGCCTGCGAGGCCCTGGGTTCGATCCTCAGCACCACATAAAAATAAATAAATAAAACAAAGGTATTGTGTCCAGCTACAACTAAAAAATAAATATTAAAAAAAGCCATTTGTGGGCTGGGGATGTGGCTCAAGCGGTAGCGCGCTCGCCTGGCGTGTGTGCGGCCTGGGTTCGATCCTCAGCACCACATACAAAGATGTTGTGTCCCCTGAAAACTTAAAAATAAATAAATAAAAATAAAAAAAAAAAAAGCCATTTGTATTCATATATGTGAGTAGATGGAGAGAGAAAAGGCCAATGTGGCCAATCATCTGCAGCTGTCAAGAAAGACATATGGGTATTTTTAAAAAATAATTTTAGTTGTAGATGGATGCAATACTATTTATTTGTTTGTTTATTTATTTTTATGTGATGCTTAGAATTGAACCCAGTGCCTTACGCATGCTAGGCAAGTGCTCTACCACTGAGCCACAACCCCAGCCCCGACAAAAGGGCATTAATTGCACTGTTATTTCAACTTTTCTGTATACTGGAAAATTTTCGAAATAAAAACTTTGAGAAATGGAAAAAAAAAAAGATGGGAAGAAACTGGTCTCCTTCGTTTCCTGGACACCTTCCGTGCTGTGAGGCAGGTACTAGAGCCATTGCCAACCAAGCAGGATGCCCAGAGGAACTGAGCAGGGGTTGAGGAGGGAGAAACCTGAACTTCCTTTTTTATTTTCCCCCCTTGTAGTACTGAGGATGGAATCCAGGGGTGCTTTAAGCTCTGAGCCACATCCCCGGCCCTTTTCTGTATTTTATTTGGAGACAGGGTCTTGATGAGTTGCTAACTGCCTCACTTTTGCTGAGGCTGGCTTTGAACTTGCAATCCTCCTGCCTCAGCCTCCAGAGTTGCTGGGATCGTAGGCGTGTGCACCGCGCCTGGCCTGACCCCAGAACTCTTGACAATGTCTTTGAGTCACTGAATTAGCAGCCCCCACTGCCTGTGCAGGTTGACTGAGGGTCCCCTCTGACTTGTAGTCAAAAGCCCCTGAAGTGACCTGTCAGCTTTCAGGAGCTGCCAGCACCTGCAACGTGGGTAACTCGCTGAGAGAGGGTGGGGAAAGGGTGAGAAGAGGGTGGGGAGAGGCCAGGCAGGTGGACGGCCACACTGAAAGGCCGGGAGTGAAGAAGCGCTGGCAGGAGGGCAACTGAGGGGCCGGCGACAGGGCACCCACGAGCTGAGGGTGTTCTGAGAATGGGGGACAGCTCAGATGCTGCTCAGCAGAGAAGCAGGGCAGGAAGCTCCTATGTTAGACGTTGGTGGGGACAGCCACTGGCTGGGGATGGATGAGAAGTACATGGTGGGGAGGGGGGGGGACAGGGACAGAGGCCCAGAGCTCCTTTAAGAGGAGGGGCTGCTCCTGTTACAAGACCACCGCCCGCTGCGGGCAGGAGACCTGGCTTTGAGATTCAGGACCAGACCAAGACCAGGCTCTTCACCTCAGTCCCCCTCCTGTCAAATGGAGGGGGTTGGTCAAGACTCCTGAGGCTGTTTATTGATTTGTTTCATGGTGCTGGGGACTGAACCCAGGGGCCCCACCACTAAGCTACATCCCCGCCCTTTCTTTTCTTTTCTTTTCTTTTTTTTTAAATTTTGAGTCAGGGTCTCGCTAGATTGCCAAGACTGGCCTTGAACTTGAAATTCTCCTGCCTCAGCCTGGTGAAGAGCTGAGGTTATAGGCATCTGCCAGGCCCTTTCCTATAGCCGACTTCCTGATCGGTGGCCACCACTCTGAGGGCCCCTTGTGACAGGTACTGGCCAGGGGCTCTCTGCTGAGCAGCATTTCCTCAGGACGCTGCCCTGGGAGGACACGAAGGCAGAGACAGGCAGAGACAGGCTGCCCACCTGAGACACCTCCCCGCACCCCACGCAGCTCATCCCCGCCTGCCTGGTCTCCCGTCCCCAGGCCAATAAGCACTCCCTCCTCTGGGCAGCTGCCCTAGTGGTCCCCGGGCCACTGTCTGCACCTCCACCAGCCCTTGCAGATGCTGTGGGCCAGCTAAGAGAGCCACCTAGGGGATGGTGCCCTGCAGGCACAGGGAGCAGGTGGCCAGGGGCTGAGCTCCCCCCTTAGGCCCTGCATCCTCTGTCACCCTGAACCCTGGGCCTGCTGGCATCACACTTGATAGGGACTCCAGAGGCTCCAGCCACAGCCTGGCCTCCCAGGCTAAGCCAGGGGGGTGTGCGGCCTTGTGACAAACTAGGTCTAGGCAGGTTTGGATGTACAGGCACAGGGCCATGGTCAGCCGGGGCAGGAGCAGCCACCTCAGACTCGGCAGACAAGTGGAGGAGCCCTGGCTTGCAGGGCCTCGCCCCTCCTCTGGGGCCCCCTCCGGCTGCAGGCCTCTGGTCTCACCTGGCCTACTCACAGAAGCAAATTTGTTGCTGTAGCAGGAAGGGACAGAGATCTGTTCTTCAGAGCCAGGCCCATCGTTCGGCATATCCACCTCATCTTCTGCAGACATGGAGGCTCAGGTCACCGCTCTGGGGCTGAGTCCCAGAGGGACCTCGGACCCTAGGCCCCAGCTGAGGAGAAGCAGCCCACACACTGCCCCCAAGAGTATGAAGGCAGGTCATCTGGGGGCTCGGGCAAGGATCCAATTAAAATGGTCCTCTTCCTGGAGTTCCCAGGCCAGCTCCTGGGAGGCTGGAGTGGCCACAGCGGTGCCACAGAGGGGTATGAGTGGGCTGGGATCTGACAGGAGAGGAGCCAGGACAAAGGTGTGAGGTCCAGCTCCAGGGAGAAGAGGCTGGTGGAGGCTGTGGGCGAGGAGGCTGGGCCACCCCTCTGGGTCCCTGCATAGTTTCCAGGCACCCACCGCCAAACCTGCAGTGGACTGAGGGGTCAGAAGTTAGTGAAGACATCTCTGCTGAGGGGCAGGGCCAGCAGGGAGGCCCAGGCCTGGGGGTGGGGAGGTGCTCAGGCCCAGGGGCAGCCAGAGGCGCTCCAGGCAGGTCGGAGGGGAAGGAGACACTAGGACACACCCACACTTACCATCGCCATAGATTCTTATCCCTCGCCTTCTGGGAACCCAAGCAGGAAGGAGAAGGGAAAAACAAATTAAGTCCCCGGAAGTCCATTAGGGAAAAAGTTCCAGGCCCCAAGTCCCAGCCAAAGCTAAAAGAGACAGAAGCGGGGCCCCTGTCTCCTGAGAACTTCTACCTGAAATCCCATCCCTAGTGAAGGTGAGCCCAGGGACATGCTTGGAACGTGACTCCTTCCAATAAGAAGGACAGGGGAGCCCGCAGGTCCTATGGGAGACTAAGATTTCCAAAATCCACGAGCCAGCCCTGGCTCTGCTCTGCTCTGCAGTAACTGCAGGTCCCCAGATCTGTCACTCAACCTCTGGACCACCTCAGCCTATAGGGATTCCATGGGGTGTTCAGAAGAGCAGGGCGAAGCTGATAAAAGGTAGAAGAGACTCCCCCTTTCCCAAGAGCCCACCCAGGCCTGGGCCAGAGTGGGCAGACCATCAGAGTCTGCAGGATTGGTAAGTGGACAGGAAACGCCAGGCACTGAGCCACCTCCGCAGGGCCTGTACCTTACAAAAAGGTACCATCCAATTAACAGTTAGTCACAAAGGACAGCTCCTCAGAAGAAGGCATAAAGAGAAAGAAAGTGGTCGGAAAAAGGCACGTACCTCTTCTTGGTATTTCTCAGGAGAGTAGGAGTATTCTCCTTTGGCCAGGGAGGGCCAAGGTGGACAAAGGGGCAGGGACACAAAGACCCCAGGAGGCCAGCTCCTTACCCAGGATTCATAGGTTCCGACTGCAGGGGCACTTTCCGGGTCTTGTTAAGGGAGGCCAGAGGTGAGCTCATAGTTCAGTCTAGATCCTAGCTGTCAGGAACTCCCTGAGAGGAAAGAGGAAGCCAGTCCTTGGGGACAGTGGGGACCTGTGGCTTCAGGCCCAGGGATGGCCCGAAGCTTCTCTTCTCTGTCTACTCTTCCTAAGACGGAGCACTGTCCAGGAGGAGTGGCCCTCACTCCTCCAAAGCCTGGCAGAGGGTTCTGGTGGCCTTTTCCTTTGGGTAACCAGCCCTCTCTGCCCTGCACACGGAGACCTCTGCCTGGAGGTGCTGGGGACAGGGCTGCGAAGCGGGTGGTGCAGCCCCTTTGTCTGGAGCTTTCCAAACTTAGAGCCTGGGTACAAGACTACGCAGGAGGCCTGGGGCTTCTGTCCATCCATCAGTGAGCTGGCGGATACAAAGCCCAGGTGTCTCCTCCTCTCCTATTAGAACCCAGGTGCCACCTGTGCAAACATGCCCAACCCACACCCACAAACCACCCCAGAGGCAGAGAGGGCAACCCACGGGCAAGATTCAGCCCAAACCCCACCTAAGTGATACGTAGGTCAAGAACCCAGACTCTGCAGATTCTGCCACCCGTTGTGTAACCGGCACCTCGGTTCCTCTGATGCAAAATACAGACAGTAACAGTACCACCCGGGCAGGTTGCTAAGGGATTCAGAGAAACAAGGCACCCAGCCCAGGGCCAAGCTCAAAGGAAGTACTTGAAAACTGAGGGTGGCTGTTGTGGGGTTTGTTGTTTGGGGCACCTAGAACTAGACACTCATAACTGTTGGTTTGCCTTCCTTTCCTCTTTCTTCCAGAAGAGAGGTATGCAGACCAGGATGCAGAGAGGGGCCACTACCCTATGCAGTACATTAAATGTATTAAGTGGCTAATATGGCTGGGCCTGGCGGCGCACACCTGCAATCCCAGCTGTTCAGGAGGCTGAGGCAGGAGGATCACAAATTTAAGGCCAGCCTCAGCAACTTAGCGAGACTCTGTCTCAAAATAAAAAGGGCTGGGATGTAGCTTGGTGGTAGAGTGCCCCTGGGTTCCATCCCTAGTACCACAAAGAAAAGAAAAGGCTAATACCTAGACATCTTAGAGTCAAAGAAAGGCCCTCCATTACTGAGAGTCTGAACCAAGTCTTTTGAGGAGGTTCCTCTTGGGAGATGTGGCACTGGCCTCTGCCTCATCCCTGAAGCTGCCAACAGCAGGGGGCCAACAGCTCAAGACAGCCACCTGTGCCTTTGTTCTAGAGGGTAGTGCTCATGCCCTGCCCCTTCTTCAGGAGAATCCTTCCCCCAGGGCCCAGGCCCAGTGTCCTCACCCCCATCCTCCAGCCTCCCCACCCTGCCCCTGCCCTTGTCCTGCCCTGTCGGGTCTGGGCATCCTCGTGGTGTTTGGCCAAGGATGGCAGCCCCTCTTGGTGGCCCTCACCAACCTCCACACACTGCCAGAGGGATCTTAAAACACAAAAGTGACATGCCACATCCCTGCACAAAGCTCCCACGGGCTCCTTCTCAACCACAGGGAAAAAAAAAAAAGTCAAAATTCCTTCATACGGGCCATCTGGTGCCTGTCCGTGTCCCCTGACTTCACCCTCCACCTGTCCACGACACCCTCCACCCGACCGCCCTGCACTCTGCCAGCCAAGCCGCAGGCAGTACCTCAAGCCACGCAGCTCCCCCTGCCTGGAGCTCCCCTTCTCTCCCATGTTCGTCCCTTGACCAGGCTGACACCTCTTTTTTTTTCCCCCTTGTCCTTCAGTTTAGCTTTTTATTTCAAAATTATTATAGATTTACAAGAAATTAGGGACCTGGTACAGAGGGATCCCGGTATTCTTCACTCAATCTCCTTCAATAGCTACATCTTATATAATCATAGTTCAAGATCAGAGGCTTTGTGCAGCTGGTGCCCTCTAATCCCTTGGGGAGACGAAGGGTATGAGAACCGCCTTGTCTTTCTCCAGTCTTCCCCCTGCTGCCTCTTCAGGGCCACAACCTCCCTTCCCAGCCCGAACCCCAAGCAACGGCCCGCTCTTATATCCACTTCAAGAAAGTTACGTAAATTGAATGGCGTAGTATGTATTCTTTTTTAAAAATTGCTTTGTTAAGACTTAAATCACATACCTCACCCTTTAAAAAGTTAACTTTTGATATATTCACGGGGTTGTGCAACTCTCACCACAAATTTAGAACATTTTCACCAGCACAAAAAAGACCCTGTAGACAAGTGGGGTGGTGCACACCTGTAACTTGGAGGCTGAGGAGAATCACAAGTTGGAAGTCAGACTCAGCAACTTAGTGACATCCTGTCTCAAATTACTGGGTAAAAGGACTGGGGATGTAGTTCAGTGGTGAATCTCGAGTACCAAAACAAACAGAAAACTCTGTACCCTTCAGCAGTCACCCCCAATTTACCCTCCAGTCCAGTCCTCACTGTCTGGATGGCCACTAATTAGTGGCTCTGGCCGGCCACTAATCTACTTTCTGTCTCTATAGATTTGACCATTTTGGACATTTCATATAAATGTAATATCTATAAAAATGATGGAAATTTGTAACTTAAAGAAGAGAAATGTATATGAGTCATATATCAATAAAGCTGAAATGTATATGAGTCATATATCAATAAAGCTGTCATGGAGAAAAAAAAAAGGTCCCCTAACCCAATCCAACTTTTCCCCACAAAAGCAGTTCCTCCATCTTCCCCTTTTGTAATCAGACCCCTTCATCCAAGCACAAAATTCTCTCCTTCCTTCCCTCCTAATCCCATCAGTCACCAAATCCTGCAGGTTAAACCCTACAATGTCTCACCACAGTCCCTCCTTCCCGTGCTCACTGTTGGCCACCCTCGTAGGGTGCTTGCTGCTCAAAGGGATGTCACAGTGGCCCCGCCCTGACGGCCCTGCTTCCAGCCTCACTCCGGTCCAATTCGACACTCCGTGTCCAGATTAACCTCCTCTTGGATCACGGGAGACCTCCGAGGGAGGAGACTCCGTCTCCCCACCAGTCTGGGGACTTCTGGGGATTCCTGGGCACACGGCTGTGCCTCCTTCAACTTCAGGTGGAGGACCTGAGGACAGAGCCGGGTCTCCTGCCTTCGTTATGGGGACCCCAGGGTAGCCTAAGGCTAGGGGCTGTCCTGGTCTTGGGATCTGCGCCGGTGTCCTCGGCATCCACGTCTCTGGGGCGGGACCTCCCTCGCCACACCTCCTGGGCTGGTGGCCACCACGGCAGAGCGCTGCACCCCGGCGCACGC